GCTCCAAAGTGAAATCTAATCCCACATTTGCCCTGGAGTCTCATTGTGATTCGAAGGCACTCTGTGAAAGAAATCAGCCTTCAAGAGACTCAGCTTTCCCCAAAGCAGGGAGAAGGGGAGATGTCAGTCACCTAAGGACAACAGGGTGTGTCACCTAATCACTTTTACTCCCAGGGGAGTAGAAGCCAAAGCACCTGGCAGGAGGGAGGAGAACACAGGCCAGGAGAGAAGCTAATGAGCATGGCTGCCTTTTGTGACAGCCATCTTGGAAGAGAAAAAGGTAAGCGTGTAAGGACGGATAGGTGCCCTGAAGCCGCACTGAGGGCCCAGACTGAGAAACACAGTTGGGATGGTTGAGATAACACAGGTTGGCTGAACTCTTTATTTCTCTTCCAGGGTACTAGAGGCCAAAGTGGAAACACCAAGCAGCTGGGTGGTCCTGGAGGGACCAGGGAAGGCAGTGCAAAGAGGGGAGATAATCTGAGTGTGTGTGTATGTCTGTCTGAGTTGAAGCAGAGAAGAAACGAGCCCATGGTGGCCTCTGGACTCTTCCGAGGGGAAGGCCTGCAGAACTGGGGCCTGACAAAGTCTGGAAGCAAGTTCATGGTGTGAGGGATAGAAGAAACAAGAAACCCTGCCAACAGGCAGAGGAGTTCAGAACTCCAGCCTGAGCAAGGGCCAACTTCAGCCTCTGCATCTATGACAAGACCTAGCAGTTAGAAACTAGGAGCTGGTGCTAACAAATGGCTCATCATCCTGGAGATTGATACGGCCCAGGATGCCTGATGCGTAAGACTTGCTACCACATGTATGCCCTCATGTTGCTGGACTCGGGGAGCAGATGAAAGGCCAGTGACTACAACCAAAGGGAATGTCTGGACCACAGTGCTGGTGGCAGTGTCCAGAAAGGAATGGTGCTGACCACACCCAACTTAGATCCAGCTATCGTTGAACTACTGAAAGCATAAACAGCCTGCATAACTGAAATAGAATGCAAAGACGTCACGAAGCAAAACTCAGACTTTGTCTCAGTTCTGGATCCCATTCAGCTCCACGACTTGAGGGAAAATCACAGAAGATTAGATTTGTAGAAAGCCATAAAAATTACTAAAATAAATACAAGCACATTCTGCACTAAATTTAACTAGGATGCAGCATGGTTTCCAGTTTGAAAGTTCGGCAAATGCAGAGTAACTGGCCCAGCTGCATCCGCGGGCTGCTCACTGTCAAAACTGGGACCTGGCACGGTCCTGACCCCAGGGGTCTGCCTCTGTGTGACCTGCTTACTCTGGAGCCAGCTGCTGGGAAAGTTGAGACAGCAGGGAAGAATTCTGAAATAAATGATAAGAAACCAGTGTTGTAGAAAACAAATGACTCGTGGCATTGTTTCCCTGGGATGAGAAGCAGGGGAGGCAGGTGACATCCCAGAAGGCGGGTTCTGCACAAAAAAAAAAAACAGAGGAAATGTTCAGATGGGTGGGAAGAAGCCAAGGTTACCGGCCAGGAACTGTGGTTTTGCTTAGTCTACTGTTTCTGAGTCCAAACCTTTCGTATTGGGTGAGCGAACAGACTCAGAGTCACTTGTCCTGACCAACCTCCTGGAGTCTCTAGAACATTCTTCTTCCTCCTGCTCCTCATGTTACTTCTCCATCTCAGCTTGATGATACCATCTCATCACCAGACTTCCCATCTGCTTGTTCAAGATTACAGCTTATTTTTAATAATTTGTGATTATTTTATTGTGTCCTCTTGAAATTCATATACTGATGTCTTAAACGCAAAACCTCAAGATGGGGCTATATTGGGGTATAGGGTCCTTAAAGAGATAATCTAGTTTAAATGAGGCTATCAGGGTATGCCTTCATCCAACCACACTGGTGTTCTTCCAGAAAGAAGGGTGTAGGTCCACAGATGCTTGCCATCTCTGGTGTAAGACAGAGGGAGGTCGGGATAAAGACAGAAAGAGGAGGAAGCCATCTATAAACAGAGAATTATTCGGGTTCAAACCTGCTCACACTTTACTCTCAGACCTCTGCAGAACCATTGGAAACACATTTGGTTGTGCGAGCCCTCCTGCCCCCATCAGTGGCAGCCCCAGCCAACACTGGGCTGATGCATTGTGGTTCACTTAGCTGCTTCTTGGTTTTATTTCCCACTAGTGTGTACACACCATGCCAACGAGCCCTCCTTGTTCATCTTGTCCCCCAGGTTAGAGACCTCTGGGTCTGTTGACGGCAAAGCCACAGTCACTGAAGGAATCGATTAACAACCGAAGTTCTATTTTTAAATAAAGAATATTTGGATCTGATAGATCTAAGCCAGCCTTGGATCCAGGAGGCCTTCTGGAATTTGAGTGGAAATCCTGTTTTCAGCAGAATAAAGGATGGATTCTCCTTGATTTCAGAGCAGAGCTCTGGTGGAACACCAGACGCTGTCAGCTGGAGCACCAGCCGACTCCTGCCAGGCCTCTCGCCGAGTGCCGATGCTGAGGTCACATATCTATCTCCGGTTTAAAATCCTTTCCTGTGTATGCAGACCTGCACCATTCTGAATGCCCCTTTTGTTTGACCGAATTGTTATCCACTTAACCATGGCCGTGAACAAGGAATGGCTATTTCTTTTAAGTCTCAAAATCAAAAGCTATAGATGGCACAACAATCACTCGTGGACAATTTCCTACAAATTGGCACTATCTTCATTGACAACGAAATGTAACATTTTCTGAGTCTGTGCTCCCTGGATACCATGCGTTATTGTGTTAGTGTTTTGAGGAATGGCCTACATTATATGCTGCAAGTTCAGCTAAGAACCTCTTCTAGTATCTTTTATTCATTATGAATGGCAAATGGAGATCTTGTATTCTAACAGAGAGCTTTGCCAGTCACAGATCCAAAAGCTCCTACAGAAAGAAGCCGAATAATGCCATGGTGCATAAAACCAACAACGAGTTAGAACATGAGTTTCTTTGATTCCAGAGCCTGAATCTGTAACACTTGGGAGGCCACATCATACATGTGAAGACATGTACTCATCGACATTTCATACATGCTACACTTCCATTAAAGGTGGCCGGAGAAAGTGATTATCTATGAAAAAAGCAAGAACATTCTTAGTTCTAAAACTAAAGTCAGATCAAAAGTATAAAATAAACACTTAAATACAAATATGAGATTCAAATATAAGACATGTACACCAGTCAGTAAAATATGTGTGTCTACTTGATTACATGTGTGTCTTCAGGAGAAACACGTCTGAAATAAACATCCTTTCTATGTTGCCCTTTGTCTTTCGTGTGCAGTAGCCCCCTCCATGCGAAGCTGAACTTTCCCAGGTTCAATTATCTGTAAGAAACTGTATCCTCCAAAAAATTAAGTGGAAACTTCCAGGAATAAACAATTCAGAAGGAAAATGCTCGTTGTTCTGTAAAGTGTAATGAACACTTCCATTGTCCCGCTCCCTCCTGCCCTGGATTCAAATGATGCCTTCATCCAGGGTGTCTACTGTGTGCATGCTGCCCTCTTGATAATTACCTAGGAACTTTCTGAGTCATCAAATTGTCTCTGCAATTACCTGGGTACTTCTGTTCTAGTAACATCTCCTGATATATGGTATCCTCCTATTAGGATCACAATGCCTAACTTGTGTTACTTTATCTAACCATATTGATCAGGTCATATTCCTGCCCTGAGAAAGAGAGTAAATACAGTACAGTAGGTTACTCTAGGAGTGAAAGGAGAGCGCAGTCACATTCACATTGCTGTTATCGTGCATTGTTAAACCTTTCTTATTTATTAGAGCTAGTGTTAAAGTCTTAGTGCACCTAACTTAGGAGGTCTAAGTGTCCTGGGTATGTGAACAGAGGGGGAAGCATGATGTGTAGAGAATCTGGTATTATCTGTGATTTCGGGTTCTACATGTCTCTGGAACACGCTTCCTGCAGATAAAGGGCTTTACTATATTGCCAGTGTGTGCCAACGTTGATCCTTTGTCCCCCTTCTCTCTCCCAATCCTCTCCTAGCCCCATAATCTCTGTACTTCAACTTTCACTCTGCAGAATGACTCCCCAACCATATCTAACTGCTGTTCCCTCTTCCAGCTTTCAGCACCTCATCTCTACTCACCTACAAAATGTTTCCATTGTAGCACCCCTGCCTTGAGCCCAGCATACTTGAAGAAGAGCCTACGAATTCCCCCTAAAGTCAGCTTCTTTAGCTCCTTCTTTTGTTCTTCCACCCCCATGACCTGTATAAAAGACTTTGACAACTGTCTCCACCAGAAATACCGATTTGAGAAACGTATCATGATCATCAGCCTCAGCATATACTCACCTCCAGGTCAATGTGTTCCAGCACATGGCACACAGAAACAACACTTAGCTCTTGGCCCTGCGGCATTTGGGCTATCACCCAACCACATTCTGAAATAACTGAATTCTTGTGCATTACTTTTTTAACCATCAGTTAAATGTCTGCAGGTAACAACTCATAGGAAATAGCTACTCTTCTCTCAATAATTAAAACAATATAACCAGACAACATTGAGGTCCACATGACAACACACAAACACGCAAACATGGAGCAGAGATGGAAGGCAGGGATCTGGCATATCACAAAATATTCCAGTGTCTTCCAAGAAAAGTGCAAGACTTGACGCACAACAGTCAATGGGAGCCATTGTTTTAAAGGGTCATAGTCAATTATGCTGTTCACAGATAAAAGGCAATAAAATTTCTAATTGGGCCAGTTCTACCATCTCGGCCACCATATTTGCTTGTTAGCGGGTGACGATCTCCAGATGTAAACACAGACGCTGCCCACATGGGGACGGGAAAGAACAGGAAGCCACAAACAATACCAGCTGCAGTCTGGGCCACCAGCATGTGCATTAGTTTAGCAATGGGAACATGATGAAGGCTTGTGAGTGCATGTGTGTGACAGAGCCACAGCCCTCTTAGGAGATGTGGCTTCAGCGAAGACACGAGCCAAGTGAGCGTGAAGTACCTGTGGCGGTTTCATTAAATGGTCCTGGACCCTTAATGGGAAAACCATCAATCTTGATCCATTCACCTCCTAAATTGGGGAAATGCAACTGGATAGTTAGAAATGAGGTCTGCAGGAGTCTCAGAAGTTCAGAACGTCCTTAGTGACTAGTCAAACGGTCTCTCAGAAGGGTACTCTCAGGCTGTGAGCAACTCTACACCTGAGCTTTGGGGACAACACAATGGTTGCAAGGCTAGTTGAGCCATGTTGAAAAACATCAGACAAAATGTTTGTAAACTGCACCAAAACTACTCCCCAAACGGGATAACCAAAACCACACACACACACACACACACACACACACACACACACACACACACACAGACGCCCTCTCTCCTGATTCTCTAGCTTTGGTCTTGCCGATGATGTGGATTGTCTGGGAGTCATTTAATCTTTCTAATTGTAATTTTTAAGTTCTACTTATGGATTGGGGGTGTATGTTCCACGCTGTGAATGTATGGATCAGGGGGCAACCTTACAGAAGTCAGTTCTCTCTTCCCACCGTGTGTGCTCCAGGGATTGAACTCACTCAGGCCGTCAGTCTTGGTGGCATGTGCCTTTACCCAAAGAACCTTCCCACTAGGCCAATCACTCTGTGTTTTTATTGGTGTGAAGACGCAAGGAGAGGGGGTTCTCCCAGGCTAGTCAGTGAAGCACAGCCTCCCGTTCCAGTTCAGACTTACCGGGTGGGCTCTCAGCTCTGTAAACGGGGCGGCTCACTCCACTGTGGTTCTCTGCAGTAACCAGCACAAAGTACACCACCCCCGGCTCTGAAACACACGGTTCACATCAAAGCGCCGTCTCAAGCCTCCAGAAGCACAGGCTTCATCCATTAACCGGCTCACTTTCACCGGTTACCACCAAATACAGAAGCCCAACAGGGGCTTTCTCTTTGTTTTTTCTAAAAACCGCTAGCATTCTCCTCAGACAGCAGAAGCATGGCTGACCCTAAGAACATCAGCCACATTTAGTACAAAGTGCAGGCAAGTGTAACAAACCCGGATTCCTGCACCATTGATGACAGATCGGAGGTTTTTAATGCAGCAGAGGAATTAGAACTCTCTGACCATGTGGTACCTCCTGAGCACAGTGGCACAGACACTACCACTGCTAGCACTGCACAGGGATGCTCCAGACGGAAAGATCCAGAAAAAAATAATAAATAAATAGCAATGAAACTCATAAAATCTTTATTGCTCTACATAAAGCTCCATGGAATTTTTCTTTTTCACAGTAAAATGTTCCCCTGGCTATGTCTGCATGTGGTTTTTGACTACTTCAACTGAAAAAGAAAAAAAAAGTTAAAAAAATATTTCCTGGAATTCTGAAAATGCTAATCTTGAAATAATTAGGTTTGGTTTTTCACTTTGGTCTCAGGGTCAAGGCAGGTAGTAGAGGTCTCCTTGGCTGATCCTCTGAAGCTGCTGGGATTCGAACCAATAGGGCCACAGCATGAAGAGGACACATCCCGGACTCAGAGTGTTCAAAATTAAACAACACCAATTTTCCTCAAAATGAATGATTGTCCTTTGGCAGGTAAGCTGGGAGCAGTTCCTCAAGGAGACTGAAGTCTGTGAGCACGGGGAGAGAGGAAGGGTTGGAGAGACGGGTGTTTGCCCTGTTGAAAATGTGAGTGGTCATGGCATTTCTCAAGGTCAGGAGCATTCTTTTAAACAAAACCTCCTTCAGTCCTTGAACCAGAAGTTCAAGACCATCTGGTATACCTGCTATACTCAAGCATGACTTTTTTCTCTCTCTGGCAGGAGCTGGTGGCAGTTAGGGTCTGGCACAACCTGCCGAGCTAATGGGAAACTGTTCTGGGACTCAGCAGAACACAGAGTTGGGCTTTGCCAGGCTTTCTTTGCTCTGGACCCATCTGAAGTTCCCAGCAATGGAGGCCACATGTCTCTGACTCCCGTCCAGTTAACTCATCATTTACTTGGGAGACATTGTTTAGTGGGTGGTACAGCCCTTTGTCGTGTATTTTTCTTCTCTACAGCAATCACAACAACCCAGAATTTAAGCAAATACGGCCCTGCTCATGCCTTTGGTCTTATAGCATCTACACTTAACCTCGCTGATGGACTGGGGGTTTGGAGCCACATTACTTCAAAGGATTGTGTGTTTAGCTGGAGGCAGCAGGCCGTAGGGAAGCTGGATACTGTAATATCTGTTTTATACACTTTCTGTTCAGTTACCCAAAGAACACAGTGGTCCCCAGCAGAAGGCGAGGAAGAAGTAGGTCCAGGGACTCAGCCAGGGCATCAATGCTGAGGGGTGGACTAGAATTTATGTCACAATCTACCATGGCACAAGAGATGCCTATGCTCTCCAGCTGGCTCCGGGGCACCCTCATGGCCTCATGGCCCAATCTCAAAGTTATAATCTACCATGATGGTGGGCATCTTAGCAAAAGAAAGGAGGGTAGAGAGGCAGCATCTCTAAGCCAGAGTCCAGACCCCCTAGTGTTCTACCTTTAAGACAGTGCACACTGAGGCAAGATTTAAAATGCTCCCAATTTCCAGAATCAACTGAAAGTAAAGTTCTGCTTTCAGCAAAGGTTATGCCGTCCACATGCCTGGTCTTCTGTGTGTCCTCATGGCGGCATGCTTCAGTAGACCTTAGGCAACTCAGATATTAGGGGTCCCAAAATCCGTGCAGGTGAAAACCTGCATATAAGAACTTCGACCTCCCAAAATCTTAGCTACTAAGAGCTCACTGCTGCCTGGATGCCTCGAGGACCACAGGAGTCAAGTGATACCTGTTCCTGTATCCTATGTATCATTTGAATGAAAATCACAGTGACAAGGTAATTTTTTTTTAACTGAGATGCTTGATTTACCGGGGAGCTGGACAGCTCCCAGGCAAAGGTGGCTGACATCACTAGAGTTCATTTTCTGCAGTCATGATTTAACCCTGCAGCCTTGGTTTAGACATCCCCCAAAGATAAGGGGTGCTGTGGTGATAATACACTCTGGCCCAAAGCAACCTAGAGGATGAAAGGGTTTGTCTACCTTACACTTCCGGGTCACACTCCCTCACTGAGGAAAATCAGGACAGGAACCCAAGCTGGCCCTCAATGCAGAAATATTGGGGAACAAGCTGCTTGCTGGTTCCTTCTCTGACTCACTTTGGGGGGCTTACTTAGCTTTTGAACATGACTCAGGATCACCTGCCTAAGGATGTTGCTGCCCATAGTGAACTGGGTCCTCCTATATCAATTAACATTCGAGACAGTCTCCCATAGGCATGCCCACAGGCCAACATGAGCTTGGCAGCTTCTCCTCTTGGATGATTCTAGGTTGTGTCGTGTTGACAGTAAAGACCAGTGGAGACAAGCGCTCTATGTGATTCTAAGTGTTTGTGTGTATAATTGAGAAATGCTAACTTTAAACAGATTCATATATTATAGTATAGTAGCGGATATAATTCAGTTATTTACATATTTTATGCATTTTTACACAACCAACCTTTTCATGGCATTGCTAGGCTTTGTAGCTCTTCAGTAAGCTTTCTTGCCAATTGTCAAAAATCTCCCCCCAAAAACTCCACATCTAAGACCCACACAGTTCAAACCCGAGTTGTTCAAGGGTCAGCTGTACTTAATTATTAAAAGGCTGATGAATGGGGAAATGTTCACATCAGACTATTAAACCATCTAATAGTCAAGTTTCTGTAAGACCAAAAAATAAAGGAGCAGTATGTTTTCCAGAACACATTCCAACACTAAAACTTTCTATTTTGTTTTGTGGCTAAGAAGGCTTGAGTTAAATGTGTGGGCAAGAAGCCTGGGGTGAAACCAAAAGGCCTCATGGTGAAGCCTCAAAGAATAACCTTGTGATGAGTCTCAGAACTTGGCTTCCTGTTTCCAAAGACTCTCGGGTAGCCTGGGCCAGCCACACGCTGTCTTGCAGACAGCTATCCCAAGAACATAGCTGCAAATGTTGACACACAGTTAGCTGTGAAGAACATGTCACTTACCCACGTCCTCAATAAGGAAGGAGTTTGTCTCCGCATTCACCTTGATGTACTTAAGACTTTTCAGTGACTTCCCATAGGCAATGTTGTAATGCTCCACGGGTCTACTGGTAGCATCTTTGGGTGGGTCCCATGCGACCTTCAGGCCCGTTTTAGTGGACAGCAGTTTCACATGCCTTGGCTTCAGTGGGTGGTCAACTATACAAAAGTGCAACTATCAACTTTACAGCAAGGGCAGACTGAGAGAATACGCTTTTGAATGTTCCCTGATATTGTTAGTAAGAATGAAATGACATTTGATCTGTGTGATCCTAAATACTCGAGTGCAGTCGTGTTTGTGCCTCATCACAGTCTGACAGCAAAACAAACACGCTGGTCCCACACAGGGTTCTGTATTTTGGATAACTGTGGGTGGTAAATTTAAACCAAACGGGAAGGAAGTCAAAATAAACACTCGGCATTGCTTGCCTTGATTATGCATACATGCCAGGGCAAGCAAAACAAATGAGTAATTTCTTATATCCTCCAGAGGCTGTTGTTCACTCCATATGCTCCTGGTGGCCTGTATGTTAAGTTAGACAGGCTTTGGAACACCTCAAAGAAGGCTTGACGACCAGGGTCAGGAAGAATATCCACCATACTCAGATTTTCAAATTGTTCCATATTTTCCCAGAAGAAAAAAAAATAGATCATTAGGAAGGACCATTGTGAAGATGGAACGGTGGTTCCATGCTTATGAGCACTGGCTGCTCTTGCAGAAGACACATGTAGGTTCCCAGCATCCCCAGGGCACAGCATCATCTGCAGTCCCAGTTCTAAAGGCTCCAACACCCACTAACGGCCTCCACAGGCTGCACATGAGTGTGGCGCACTTGCAGAAATGCAAACAAAATGGTTACACACACAAAGCATTTTTTAAAGCACCATTGAATCTTCAATGATGAAGTCTAAAAATTTTCTTCATTTTCAAAATTGCCAATCTGATACATATCATTTTACCTAACCAGATCTCTCAGTTCACTGCTGACTGGAGCGGTAGTGTGAGAACGTGGCGACGTGTGCCAGATATCCACAGAGCAATTGCAACAGACAAACAAAGCTTCAGTTAATTCGGGTAATAAGACGGCTGATTATTCAGTAACACGAGGCACTTTCAGCAAAGACAAAAAGAAGTAGCCAAGGGGAGGGAAGATCTTAATTTTAAAAACATTAAGAAAAATGCACTTGGAATCTCCTGGTGGAAGGGGAAGACAACATTTTCAGGAGGACACACACATGGGTTAGCATGTGATTTTGATACCGATGGAATCTCTGAACAGAACGACACAAGTGATTGTAACATTCACCACACATTCTCCCTCTGAACACTGCCCCCACGGCTCTGGAGGGAAGCGTGTTGGGAGTATTCACAACATGTGTAAAGTGGATGGATTTCATGCCTTTTGAATCATTAGTGGAAGGATGTTCAGTCTGGAGACAAAAAACATGTTAGATGATATTCATTGACCACAATCCACAAAGGACCCCTCCCAACTCCAGATACGAAGCCCCCGAAGTGCCATAAAGGAGAAATCACAGGTAAGCCATCTTCGAGTCATAGGGACAGAATGCCAGTGACTTCCTGGGATTGAGAAATGAGCCATACTTGCTTCTCCCAATCCAGAAAATACTTCATCATTGCCTTCTAGAGAGAAGAGCCATCCTTGTCATCTAGAGAGAAGAGCCATCCTTGTCATCTAGAGAGAAGAGAAGAGCCATCATTGCCATCTAGAGAGAAGAGCCATCCTTGTCACCTAGAGAGAAGAGCCATCATTGACATCTAGGGAGAAGAGCTATCATTACCACCTAGAGAAAAGAGCCATTTACAAACATTCACTTTTCTTCCCTGCTGTGCCTCTGGGCCAATCAACTTCTTGTCACTCTTAGAAAATATCAGAGAGAGTCAATTTAGAAACAGGGGGGACTTCTCTTGGCCACGGTTTTGGAAGTGTCTGTCCATAACTGATCATTCCTATAACCCTCGGATCTGCGGTGACGCAGCCATGGCGGTAGAATCAATGGTATAACAAAGTGGCCTACCTTATGGTGGCTAAGAAGCAAGAGATGGTTCCCACTGTCCTCTTCAAGGGCAAAACTCTATGACCTAAAATCTCTCATTAGGTCCCACCTCTTACACCACAGCCTCCCAACATGCCCATGAGTTAGAGAGCTCGCCTGTAACACAGCCCCTCTGGGGCTCATCTAAGCCATAGCAGCCTTACAACTTATTCTTCATACAATAACCCTTTTTCAAATCAAAGCTGGCCAAGGACCCCACCCTGCTTTCTGGGAAGAAAGCTGGAACTGACCCTTCATGTGCTCTTGGGGACATTTGCATTCTCGTGACAAAAACTTAACAGAGAAATAGCTTTCTAGGCCTCAGAGTGTCACTGGTAGAAGTCACTTTTGAGCACAAAGGCTTTGGGAGCACCCTGAAGTCATGTCTCAGTGGCAGCCGGAGAATCAGTCTGGAATTAAGGTTTTTCAAAACTCCTTGGGTCAACATACCACCTCCCTCCCCTTCACAACACACACTGGGCCAAGTGAAATGGAGTCTTTGCTCTGATTACATGCTCTCATTTCTAGATCTCCATCAGGTTTAATAGTTAAGGCTGACATCATGACATCACTTGCAGCACCTCCCAGTAAACACAGATAATCAGGAGAACTGGCTGCCAAGAGGATGCGATGGTGAACAAGACAACCTCCCGGGTCATGCCAGCCCTGCAACAACCACCTCCTCCATCAATGCCTGGGTACCAACCCAGGATGCAGCGGGGTCAGTCCTTCCAGCAAGGGCACACCACTCTGCAGATTCGGGTCACAGGAAACTTGCTCCTGAACTGAAAACATAACAACACGTCCTACTTCTGGTGGTCGTTTTGAAGGGCGAGCGACTCTAATCTCTCAGTATGAAGTAAAGCCGTGCAGGGCAAGTGGTTTCTGGACTTCCAGGCTGGATTCCAGGCTCTGGGTGAGAAACGACCGTTCTGATAATGTGAAGCTGTACTACCACACAGAGGCCCTTATGTGTTTATATTTAAATATGCATTTGTTTATGGAACCAGGGATTAAATCTATGGTTTGCACCTTTAAGCAAGTACTCTACGATAGAGTTATATTTTCAGCACACACGTGTGCACACACACACATATAAATATAAAGTATTATATATATATACATATATATATGTATATATATATGTATATATATATATATATATAAAACATTTTATTTCCAGACAGGTTCTTCCTAAGCTTCCTTTGAGCTCATTCTGTAGCTCAGGCAGACCTTGATTCCATGCTCCTGCCTCAGCCTCCCAAGTAGCTGGGGCTACAGGCCTGAACTGCCAAGTCCAGGCTCCTCTTGAGTGTTCAATTACCAACTGGAGCACACAGCCTTTTAGAGATCGTTTTCTATACATCTCTCCGGAGGGGACATTGGTACGGTTTTGGTGGCTGTCTGTCCAGGACCTTTGTCTCTTAGGAAACAGACAGACTCAAATGTCAATGCTGCAGTTCTGGGAAGTGTAAGGGGGAGGAGCAGGCAGATAGGACCCCCACAAGCTGCTTTTCATCTTCGGGGCGTGTTCAGTGAGGAAGTGAGTTTAAGCCCCAGCTTAAGGGAGGGATTTAGGGTTAAATTAGAAGAATTTTCTGTCTGCAACCCGCCCCTCCCCCGCATCCCAGGCTGGCTTCGAACAAAGACAAGAAGATGCTTCATCCCAAACCAGCAGCCAGTGCTAGCCAGTTAGGGCTCCAGCAATTCCATACTGTGGCAAAATCCTGCCAATGTTCAAGCCAGCAGGCTTTGTCTAGACTGAAAAATATTTTTGCTTGTTACTAAATAGCAAAATGCTGCTCTGGCGATATCTCAGGTGTCACCCATTGCCACACTCTGTGTCTCAGCTGCCACAAGGGTCTACTTGTTCATTTAGGAATGGTACTCCGTACTCAGGATGACTCCTTACTTTGGTCTAGTCCCAACCTCAAGGCTTACACAAGAGGACCCCACGAGGGCTATTTGTTTCAAACATCAAAGTGCAAATCCTGGGAGCCAGTGTGGTTAGGGGTCAAAATATCAAGCTGTCATCAATTGAGACAAATTCTGGATTACTGTGGTACCCCTAAGATGGCTGTCCTTGGGAAGTCTTCAGTTTCCAGAACAGAACTCAGAGGATCTCCAGTGTTAATACACAACCTTAAACCCAAGCCAGAGCAAAGTCCTCAGGGCCAGCCCGGCCAAGGTCTACAGTATCCATTCCAGAGTGGGCAGGGTCAACAGCTGGCTGGGCCCCTGTCTGCCTTCCTGCTCTGATGTGCCTTGGCACCCATCATTAACTATGCACTGACAGTGGGCGAAGGAAGGGGTGTGTGACGAACACATCAACCCAGGGTTCTCCTACTCACGTCCCTACAAGGGCCAGGAAGGTGAAGCAAAGGGTGCCTGTGTACATGGGTTCACTGTTCAGGCACCTGCTGACAACACAGACCTCAGGTTCCAGACCGGCAGGTGCTCAGAGATCCTCTCTAAGAAGACAGAAATCATTTCAAGCTTTCCTGCACTTTGCTTTCTTTGGGGGAGGGGAATACAAGCACGTACACACCACGGGACACATGTCAAGGCCAGAGGGCAATCTGCAGGAGTCTCTTCTCTCCTTCTACTACATGGGACTGAATTCAGGCTTTCTGGCAGGCACCTTTACCACTGGACCGTCTTTCTAGTTCCAAGACAGAAATCTTAGCTTTTGGTTAAATATCTCAATTTTTATGCCAACTAGCAATTAATTCATTTTTTAAAACTGTGAGGGAACACACACACACACACAATCAGTAGACCAAGCCCCCTGATGGCTGATTAACAACCTCTACCGTGACCCAAGGAGAGATCCTCTAGTTGCTAACCCAGACAACCTCCCAGCATCTTTTGTTCCTTTGCCTTGCAGAGAGGCCTCTGTGAGTATGGGTCCATGAGAATAGGGGTGAGAATTAAAGAATGGAGAAGGTGGCAGAACTCCCCCACCTGCGCTAGGGTGTATACTGATCAGCCCATTTATCATACTCCACCTCCAGACACCCTTCCCTTCCCAAAACCCAAGGACTCTGGATTTGCCTTGCCCTGGGTCCTAAGAGCTAACAGAAACCTGGGGGTGGAGGTGGGGGTGGGGTAGAGAAGGTATGAGGTGCTAGCCAGGCCTAGCTACTAGCAAAACTAATGACTTGCACATAGGTTTCCACTAAAGAGAGTCATGTGGAGAGCTGTATCTCAGAATGCAGAAACACACGGGTCCAAAGCACAGTCAGTAAACTGAACCAATAAAGTCAGGATCCATGGAGGACTCATGCTTAGAAAAACAGATTCAAAGTTACTACTGTATCCTTCCAAGTTTTGTTTTCTCTTTTAAAGCATAGTTGCTTCATCAGGTAAACAGAGAAAGGGAGGTGTTTGTGGAGAATCAGCTGGAGGAATGGGAGGGAAAAGAGAAGAGAGATGGGCCAGGCAAAGGTTTCCAGGGAATGCTAAGCCAAGAAGAAAAAAATTGGGAGTGTTCTCCTGTTTGGCCCACTTACTGCCAACTGCGCCATTGCAATTTTGCAGCCGAATGATTTTGGCCAAAACTGTTACAGCACAGAAAATGGTGGCTCACGCTGGCATCAATGAGTGGTAGGTGAATGGGTGAATATTTAAGTCTGACTTACAGGCAGTTTACCATCTAGAAAGAAAGGGAAACTGATAACCACGCAACCCTTCTCCGTCTCGGGTCTGCCCCAGAAAGCTGCTGCTGTGGACAGGATCATTTTAGACCCCACAGCTCCAGAGAAAACCACTAAGAAAATATTGACCAGAGAGAACCAATTTTTTTTTCTGAAGCAATTAACCATACACCGGTGATTTTAAAAGAAATGCTATCAATTCTTTGACAAGTACTTACTGGAGAAACTTGTGTAATTAAAAGTTAGTTTGATTGGAGCAGTGGTGGTGCACACCTTTAATCCCAGCACTTGGGAAGCAGAAGCAGGCAACATTTTGTATTTGAGGCCAGCCAGGTCTGCAGAGTGAGTTCCAGAACAGCCAGGACTACACAGAGGAACCCTGTCTTGAAAAACAAACCACAAAAACAATAGCCACATCTGAAAAGTAGATGTGTGGGGCTCACTGGTTCTCCAGAGTCCTGGTCATACCCTGCTATGACGGTCATGGGTTCTTAGAACCATCTGTAAGTCTTCAAGAGCAAACAGTATCTATGTGCGCACAAGAGAAAAGAGCCACGTGTTTCCTCCACACCAACAAATAACAAGCCAGGTAACACGTTGTTTTATCCTTTTCTGGTCTCAAATGGTGCTGATGTGTGACATTCAAAAGAGCTCAGTCGGGTGTAATGAGATGCTGTGACCTCCTGAAAATGTCCTGGTTGGGTGACCCCAGCAAGACAAACTTACTCCAGTGGTCGGGTACATTCACCCCATCACTAAAATCCCAGGAATGATTCAAGTCCAGACATGAAGCCTTGGTTGTCTTCTAGCTTAATATCAAAAAACCGAATACCTAAACACCTTCCCTCCCCAGATTCTTACTCCATTTGGCCTCCATTAGATGACTTATTCAAATGCCCAGGCGAGGGAGGGTTCCCTTAGACGACAACCTCCTCAGTACTTAACTTTCAGGACACCCTGAAGTAAGGGCTACTGAGTTCAGCGTCTGCCAGTGGCTTACACGGGTAGAGACCCCGAGGGCTCTAGTGGACTCAAGAGGATCTGCAAATGGTTGCATCTTTCCTCTGTCTATCCAGTAGGCTCTCCTCAATTCTATAACAGACATGTGACCCTGTGGCCCCCAACGTGCCCAGAAGTCTCCTCTGCATTTATTCCAACTGGGAACACCACCAAGATGCTAGGGAGGGGGTTCTGGGACTCTGGGGGGGACCTGATCTTGTTGTCGCAAACAGAAGGGAATAGAGATCTAAAATTGTGATCTGAGCAAACATCGTTTCTTTACATAGCATTGAGTACTGAATATTTAGTTATAACCACTGAAACAGACTTAATAGAGAGCATTGGGTTCTAAGGGTCCCCAACGCCAATTCCCCGACTTACCATGCCCTGGCTCCAAGAAACAATAAATTCTGAAACTTAAATAAGTCC